AGTGAAAAATTTTCCTCCTCCTCCCCCAGCAGAGCAGAGGCCAAGCGGAGCATGCAGAAACCCTTACTAGATGCTACAGCGCTTGCGATGACAAAGACCTATGATTGGCATGGTCGCCCAGAACTGCAAATGATTTGCCTCCGACACTGCCTGAGCTCGGTTCTGCCTCATAAAACAAGAACAATGTTTTGCTGAACAGTGCTGGCTGCTGAGAAACACGAGCATGCTTCCCAAACACAGCGAAACCCTCGCTGAATTAAACCAGAGCAGATCTCCCTAGAAGACAGCTAATTTCCATTCAGGGAGGCCTGGCATGGGAAAGGTTTGGAAAAACACAATTAGCCCAGGCTTCGGCATCTGCCCTTCTGAAGGGGGCCCTTCAGACTGCAGCACCACGCGCGCTCTGCCAGCGTCTTCGAGCATCACACGCACGCCTGCAAGACAGTGGCAGGAGAACCCATCGCCTGAACAGAACCCCACGGAGATCAAGGAATATTCTGTGCCACAAAACCACGAGAGGTTGCCTACAATTAGCTGCGTTATTTCCTGCAAGTCACCTTTCCGTTCATCCCGACGCCTTACCTCGCGTCCAAAATGCCTTCGTATTCCAGAAGCTGTCTCATGAAGCCTGCGTTTGGTCTTGCAATGCTGCGTTTTTGCTTCACGTAATTATAGGCCTTTTCCAGCGACCAGCCAAATTCCTTCATTGCATAAGCGATCACGGTAGACGCTGACCGGCTCACACCCATTTTGCAGTGCACCAGGCACTTGGAGCGATTCTTCCTGCAGAAGGACAAACAGGAAAATAACATCTCATCTTTCTTGGTTATGGCATCTGCTGTTACCATTCCATGGTGGAGAGACAGCACTTTGTCCTCCTGACCACCCTAACGCCACGGCTCAAAAGGTGAGAAACGTTTTGGACCACGAGAAGAATCTCTCTCCAGAAAAGTCAGGAGTTTGAGAAGCAGCTTCAATCACGCTGCCATTTCAGAGACCACCACGAAGCCTCCTGCCTGCCCAAGGCTTTGGACACGAGGATAAGGGGGAACAACCCGAGCGTAAAAACCCAGCAGAGTTTGATGGGCTCTGTCACCATCTCTTGTCTGCAGAGACGGCTGGGGCTAGCGCAACACAGACACGTGTTTGGAAGATTTCCAGAACTTCTTGAGAAGAGGAAACGTCCTCGTTTCCTTTTGGAAGCAAAACAAAATAATAATAATAAAAAATATCATAGGGTAAGAACAGGTTAATGCCAGTACAGGAAGAGATAAGGTACGGGGAAATTCCAGGGCCACAGAAAACTCCTGGCGAAAGCAGTAGTGCAGAAGGCCCATTGCCTCCTCCAGCGGTGGTGTGGCTTCAGGGAGGGCCCAGCTCCATGCTGGATGCAACCCGCCGGGCATGGTGTCAGACCCCATGGCTTGGGCACGATCTCCCACTACGCTGCGTCACCCAGCCCACTTACTTGGCCTTATTTATGAAGTGGTATGCCTCATTCCAGTGAGCCAGGAGGTCTGTTGTCTCCTCGTCATACACGCGGATATTGTGATAGGCGAACAAACCGGGGAAAAAGTTATCAATTTCCCTGGTCACGTTCAAAATGTAGTCAATGCTGCGGAGAACGAAAAGGAAAATAAAGTTGAGCTGCCATGGTCATGAACGGGAACTGACAGACATCGTGAAGTCCATGAAATCTGACACGGCGTGAACCGTAAGATTTTATCTATGGCCCTAATCCCGAACCCCTGGGACGCCCGGTGACACAGGCCACGCGCGTGACCTGCCCGTTCCCCCATCTCTCACCACTGGCATATCCCATTCAAAGCCTCAGAAGACCTTGGGCGCAGGAGGGAGATCTTTATTTTGACCTGTCCGCCGAGGCTTCGTAGCCTCATCAGAAACATCTCTCCGTGTGCCGCACGCAAGCTTTTGGGATGCTGAAAGGAGAAAGGCGCATTGGCTGCGAGCAATTTGCTTGGGGAAGAGCTGGGGAACAGACCCTAGGATTCACAGTTTAGCTGCAAACCCCTCCCTTTTTCTTCTTTCTGACCAAAAATATGAAATGCGACTCACGTGGTATCGCTTGATTCCTGCCAAATATTAACAGCAGGGATTACAACGTACTCGGGGAAGAACGAATGCCCGTGGTGATTTACTACCTCCTATCACTCAGACAAATCAAGGACACGGGGTATTTGTTTCAGAATTTGTCCAGCTTTGACTTTTAGACATTGCATGTCAAGATGCCTTCCCCGTAGATCAGAAGTATTAACGTGCTGGGGGATTTACGTGTTCGAAGATGTTCAGACATCTGTTCCCAAGGACTCCAAATGAAACATTTTTAGTCATGCTGTTAAGCAATATTTTTCGGTTTCTCACATCGGGGTTGGTGTACGCCTTGGGCAAGCAGCAAACACTTACATGCAAAATTCTCACTCGTCCAAAAAGCGTGAAGGTAAATCGAGCCAAGAAGCGGTGCGGTGATGAGAGCGTGGTGAAAGACAGCCCTGCAGCTGCCTGTCTGGGCAGGTGAGGTGGAGATTGCTCATCCACAGGAAGTTCTGCTCCATTTAGATAGAGTTTTTTTTCCTAAGCTTAGCGCTGCAATATTTGCTCTCCTGCAGCCTGCAGGAATTCACACCTGACACAACAATACGTATGGCCATTTCACGCTCGGCCGCGACACACGGTGGGGGGGCGGAGATCTTGATGGGCTTCACAAACGAGAAGCTTTGTTATTTCCACTCTACGTGTCATTGATAGAAATGAGGTAGGAAGGATTTCTCAGCTGAGGTCTTGACGGTGAGTTACCCACATGGCTGGGAATGGGCCCAAACTCAGCCCTACAGCCTACAAACGTCCTACCTCATCTCGAGAGACCTGAATGTAAGCTACAGGCAAACGACTGGAGGTTTCAGAGTCTAAGGCTGGTGCTTGAAAGGTGCAGTACTCACCCCGAGCCCTGCAGCTCCTCGAGGTTGGAGGCGTTCCACTCCCCCCCCCGCCCCCCCCCCCCAGCCACAAAACACGTGTTTCAAAGGAGCCTGAGACCCTCCTCCCTCTTTCCTGAGGTTCTGCAATCCCCCAGGCTCACTGAAATATTGGCAATAGCCTCTGGAAAAGCAACACGGCTGGGCTGCAGCCAGTGCTGCAGCTCAGCACAGAGATGTCCCGTCCTGAACAGGCAGGGCCCTCCCAAAGGAGGGGACAAGGGCATTACACCCTCACCTAAGGTGTGAGATCTGGGCCAGCATGCGATGGAGCACATCCCAAATCACTGTCCCTGGCCACTCTGGATTTTTAACCACAGAGATAAATAGCACAGGGAAAGAAAATTATGTGTGGCATGACTGGAGAAATTCTTTACACTGAGGGTGGCGAAGCACTGGAACAGGTTGCCCAGAGAGGGGGTGGAGGCCCCATCCCTGGGAACGTTCCAGGACAGGTTGGCTGGGGCTGTGAGCAACCTGATCGGGTTCAAGGTGTCCCTGCTCCTGCAGGGGGGTTGGGCTGGGTGACCTCTGGGGGTCCCTTCCAACCCAAACCATCCTATGACTGGGATCACAGGTATATGAGAAGCGAGGCAAATCCTGGAAGTTATGGGCGCGGTTACACCTTGGTATCCCCCCGTACTTGCGAACCGAAAAGCTAAAAAGAGTCTGAAAAGCAGGTTTTGCTCTCAAACACGAGCGCTTCCTCTTTCTCCAGAAAAAAAAAAAAAGCACCAAGCATAACGGGCACAAGTGTGTTCATCTCAGGCAAGTCTTTGTTCCAGCTGGCAATGCCTGGTTTTGCTTGGAGTACCATCTAGTGGCAAAAGATCAGAGGAAACACGCACCGTGCTTTGCTTTTTGCACAAGCTGGAACAGCGCATCGGCTTCAGCCTTATTCTTTACATAGTTCTGGCCACGCATACAGAACTTCATAGGCTCAGTTGAGAAAAAGAATGTCCTCATCAGAGTCAAGGAACGAACAGCTAGAGCCTTTGACCGCCACAAAAGAAAATCTCCACTGCTAGGGACAGAAAATGAGCGTGTGTAGGGAGAACTTGGGCTATGCCAGGGTACGTTCTGGAACAGGATCGACCTGCTGGGGAAGAACCATTACATCGAGTCCCAGAAACAAGAACACAGCCAGAAAAAAAAAGGGCTTTTACGAGCAATATGGGTCCCGTGGTAAAGTCTGCACAAAGCAGGGGATAGCGGGCTGCTCCCCTTGCTCATGCTGCACAAGTCAGCCTTGACACCAAATCCAGCTTCCCCTTAGCCCAGCGACTTGTCAGGTCACTCCCCACTGAGCCTCCTGCTGTCCTGGAACTCCTACCATAACAGCTTACCAGATATAAATGATCAAAAATCAGCGACGGTTTGTCCATCTGACCCAGGATAAGCAGCATTTCATTGTCTATAAATTCCTTGAATTCCTTCAAGTTGCAATTCATGTGTTTCTCCAGCTCATTTCGTATCTGCAGAGGAGAAAACAAAGGATGCCACCTAGAATCGCGTCTGTTCAATAGAAACATTTGTTGGCACTCCTCTGCAAACGCTTTTTCTGTACTTCATTAAAAACAGCAAGAGGGATTTGACCTTTCAGAGACAAGAAATCTCACTACGTGGCATCTCTCCAAGGATCCAAGGCCCCCAGATTCCAGACCTGTAAATAAAGCTTTAGATAACATCTGAGTAAAAAAAAAAAAAACAAACCCTAACGTATTTGGGGTACCTGCTTTTTAAAAACAATTCAAGAGATAAAACCCAAGACCTTGGAGAGCAGCCACCAAACAAACGTGAAACCCGTTAGAAGCAAGGAGTGAATAACAGCAGCGGCGTTGGTGAAGAGAGATTTCCAGTACTCTCCCTCTTTAAAATACCAGGGCACAGACGTACAGCCCTCTCGCTGCACCTCAGCTTCAGGAAGGCGCAGGGCAAAGCAGCACCACTGTGCTTAACCCACCGCGGAAAACGGCTGCAGCAAAATCAAAGCATCTCGACTGCACCAAGAGTTAAGGACACGTACACAGAGAGACAAGTTCTCAGCTTACGCCTACAGCTTGCAACGCTGCTGTTACACAGGCGTGCATCCGAAGCCCTGGGTGCTAAGCTTTAGGAAGGAAAGCCCTGCACGTTAAAAACCTCCCTCAAAAACCAAACAAAAACCCAGCCCAGAGAGAACTACTTCCATTTGCTCTGAGTATGTCTGCACTGCGGCTGGACGCGTTGACACCAGCCTGTGGGATGGATAGAAACTAGCTTCAGACTTCCTGTGTAATTTTCCATCCATAAACTCGCTAGCAAAATGTTGCCCGCAAGCCCCTCTGACATTTGTTCAGGAACAAAGAAAATAAAACCTTAAAATGAAGCCGACAAGGAGAAAAGCAGACACACGCTTTGCTCTGCACGGCCCACGAGTGAGCGACGGTCAGGCCACTTGTTTAACGCGGCCGCGAGGCCTCAAGCCACCAACTGCATCGCCCGAGTTCTGCCTTCGCGTGCGCAATTCACAGGGATGCACCGAGGAGTAAGGGGCTGCGATTCATTGCTCAGACATGCCCACACGCGCTACGACCATCTGTAACGCAGGCATTGCCTCTGCTGCCACTCTGTTGGCAAAGAACCGGGCACTACGCACTTGAAAGTCACGTACTTAGTTACTAAGGACTTGAAAAGGGCGCTCTGATGTTGGCCTTACCCCCATTTCCCTCCTGGAAAATCAGAGGTATTGCAAAGCCAGAGCGCAGAGCCTTTACGGAACAGCTGGAAATACATGCTCAAAAGCCAGTGACACCCCGTCACATGGTGTCTCTTCAGCAGCGCAGCACTCTCTGGAAAAGGAGTCTAGCAGGAAGAATAAAATAGCAGGAATTTTTACATTTACCTCCTTAGAAGTCACATTTTCCAGGTCTTTGCTCATCATGATGCTCCGGAGTTTGGCTTTAATGAGCCGTTCTGTTCGTTCCCTTTCTGTTGGCCTGAAAAGGAGAAGGAGAGGATGTCTCCAAGCTGGTAGTAAACCTATGGTGCAAGTCATACAGTACAGACAAGTGGTGGTAAGGACTTGTCTTAAAAGCAATTTTCATGAGAATAATGGAAGAAAAACATTTCATAGCATCGTAGAATGTTTTGGGTGGGAAGGGACCCCCAGAGGTCACCCAGCCCAACCCCCCTGCAGGAGCAGGGACACCTTGAACCACCTCAGGTTGCTCACAGCCCTGTCCAACCTGGCCTGGAATGTTCCCAGGGATGGGGCCTCCACCCCCTCTCGGGGCAACCCCTGCCAGGCTTTCACCACCCTCACTGGAAAGAATTTCTGCCTTAGATCCAGTCTAAACCTGCCCTGCTTCAGTTTAAAGCCATCCCCCCTTGTCCTGTCCCAGCTGGCCCTACTAAAAAGCTTGTCCCCCCCTTTCCTCTGGGCCCCCTTGAAGCCCTGACCGGCCGCACTCAGCTCTGCCCGCAGCCTTCTCTTCTCCAGGCTGAACACCCCCAACTCTCCCAGCCTGGCCTCAGAGCAGAGGGGCTCCAGCCCTCGGAGCATTTTAGGAGCCCTCCTCTGGCCCTGCTCCAACAGTTCCATGCCCCTCTTTGAAGACATTTACGAAAAGAAAGGAAAGGAACCGCTAGTGGAAGGAAAGGGAGAAGGGGAGATTTCTCTCGTGAGCCAAGCCAACTTTTTCTAATAAAATTCACAACTGACTTGTCAACAAAGAGGGCTGGCGAGTCGGGGCGGGTGGACTCCAGGTCCTGCATTGCATTCCACTCATTGATGCAGCTCTGGTCAGAGCTGATGCAGCTTTCATAGTACGTGGCCCAGACCAAGGCCATCCCGCCTGGGAAGTAGTTGTACCTCCTTGCAACTTCACAGGCTTTATGGAGGATCTGTAGAGCAGACCTGTGGGTTGGGAGAACAAATTTGTGCAGATGTGAGCAGCAGGAACAGACAGAGCAGGACCTGGGAGATTTTCACAGAGAAAAAAAAAAAAAAAAATATTTTCAGCATTTTTTCTTGCAGTTTGCTTTTTGAGAGCGGCAGATTTATTTTATCAGAGTTCAGAGAGGGCACAACCTGCACCTTGGAGGCCTTCTCAAGAGCCAGTCCAAGGCAGAGGTGGAAGCCTTCCCCTGATTAACAGGCAAGCACAAGGCACAAGTCGCTCTGGGATCTAATGATTAGCTAACTGGTAAAGCCAGACCAAAGAAAAATAAAGAACATGGACAATTTTCAAACCACCTTCAGCAAGGAGTCAAATGTGTATTTACCATCATTCTTGGCCCCTGACACACTCCAGGGACAAGGCCCAGATTGGGTCATTTGTTTTTGCAAATTCTAGTGTTACTTTTTCCTTCCTCCTCATTTCCCCCCCCCCCTTCTTTTAAGCTCTACTCCGAAGATGTCATTGTACTGAACACATTAACCACATCTACGGCTGCCAACAGGAGGGGCCGAGTTAAAAAATGACAGGAACAAGAGTTTCGTTTGTCTCTGTACCAAATCATCCCCAGCACGACATCCTTCTCTCCATCTGCAGCTCTTCCCTATCAGATGCCGCAAGGACAGGGATCTCTGGAGGCTCCAGCAGGAGCCAGCAAACTGCCCAGGCCAAGAGCGATGCATTTGCTCTTTGCGGGGCTGAAGAGCAGCCTCTTTGAGGAGGAATCTGCTGGCACCGATGCTGCTGATTCAGCCACCTCTGCTTCAGTGTTTTGGAATCCCTGCACATGGGAGGGGTGACAGAAGCTGAAAGGTGAGCAGGCCCCCTGGGGCGGCACGGCAAGTTTCCGCGCGGCAGGAACCCCAGCCTGGCCCCAGCAATGAGGCAGAAGACAGGGAACGCCATCAGATTGGCAGCGGGTCCCGAGTATCCTCCTTCAGCCAGTGAGAAAAATATGCAGAGAGGGGAAAGACGGGGTTTGCAGCCTGAGGAATTCAAGTTGGGCTTTCCGATTTATTCATCTCGCTAGTGCCGGTTCCCTTACATTGAAGGGCACATAGCTGCTCTGAACAGAAGCAGATCCTGGTTTGGGATCAGTATTCCCACGGTCCCTGCTGACACAGGGAAGCAGCACCTCTGCTACAGCTCACTAAATACCAATTATGGAGAACGCTAAAATGCAGCTTGTTTATTTGTTTTTAATTTATTCACAGAAATGACAGTCTCCTCCTCAACAAAGCTAATTCACGCACATACCACATGGCTTGCACCGACACCGGCTTGAAGATGTGCATTCTCCCTGCAGTGCTCACGCTGAAACCACTAAGAGAGAGGGGGGGAAAAAGAAAACCACCGGTCAGAAACTGCTCTTCTCTGCATCACAAGCTGCACTCTACAGCTACTGCAAGGCAGCTACAGGGGCACTCACAGCAAAAAAGAAATCAGGGATGAGAATCTCTATCACCGATTTTCCAACATCCTCCCAAATAAGAATGGCAAGCAGACACCCTTCCCGGCCTAGGCTGCCAGGAATGGGAGCTCTTACGCCCCGAGGAGGATTTCAGAGAACATTCACTGGGTATCACAGGTTCCACCAAGCAGTCTGAGGGCAGCAAGACAAAAACTCACTGTCTGAGTAAGAGGACTGCGGCCATGAATCCAAAATTGGAACTTCATTTGCAAGGTGACGGAGAATCTCTCCTAGAGCAGCCCCCAAGTAGGGAAGGACATTCACATTTATCCTTTTAATGTGGTTTCTTACCCATCACCGTCAAGATGGATTTTAGTATCACTCCACAGACGAAGAACCATTCCTATAGTGCAGCTTTTACTGGAAGAGAGGTTGTTATACAGGATGTTAAATATAGGCCACAATGCGGTCACGCCAATATCCTAAATTATTAATACTCTTTAATTTTTAAAATCCTCAAGTCTTGCTCTAGTAATTCCTAGTAATATCTTAGGCCATCAAACGCGTAACACACAAGGAGACCGGCAGCTGAAGTCTAAAGGTCTGCTCTGGTATTAGCATGCCGATTGCTCCACAGGGCTGGAGGAACATCACCGAAGCAAGGATCAAAACTACCAGCTCTCCTCTCCCCCTCCAGAGCCTGCCAGAAAGCGCCGCAGTATTTACCCCATCATCGTCCCCGCTCCCTCACCCTCATCAGCTCAGGGCAAGGCAGCTCCCTAAGCGGACGGAAAAAGCAGATTGCCGCGATCTGGCTGCAGGGATCTGGCTCGCTAAAGCCAGGCAGAAAGCAAGCCTTGGTAGGTGGCAGAGCAGCCACCTGCCCTTCCCTAAGAGCACCCCAGGGGCCTTTCAAAGCACCGCGTGTTCGATTTTCACTTCATCGCTCTGGCTGGTAGAAAAGACAGAACGGGATTTTATGAGTTGACCAAACCCAAAAGAACACTTTCATTTCAGAGATGCAATCTGGCGAGAAAATTGTACTGCAATGGGTGCCAGGAACTTTCAACTCGTAAATAATTAAGCCACTGAGATATTAAAGTTTTAAAGGAAATTGGGATGCAAACAGCAACAGCCAGTTCGCAAAGAACTCAGGTTTTGTTCTGTTCTTTTCCTTTCTTAAAAGCCTTCAGCCGCTTTCTACAGCAGATCAAAGGGTTTGACAGGCCAGTCTGAACACACACGAGGACAATGTGCAGTTTAGAGCTGTGTGAGAAAAAATGGTTTTTATTAAACACATGTAAAAGGAATAAAACCCACCAAAGCGCCCGGCTAGTCAAGCTGTCAGCAGTCGGAACGCTTACAGCTCCGCAGCGACGTTTCAGCCCCAACACAGAGCCGTGGAGTCGCTCAGCGAAGTCGCTAACACCAACTGACTTCTTTATGCATGAGACTTACCCTTAATTAACAAAACCTTTGGCTTTCAGGGGAGGCGGGAACTGAAATGGCAGCTAACTATCCAGTCAGGATGGCTTTGTCCTGACTTTGCCATCTTTCCTCTTGTCTTGCCATCAGTAATCACCGGGAGCCAATTACTGCAGGGTTATTTCAGATTTGAAGGCGGCATAGCAAACATTCACCGCTGTTGCACGCTAAGCGTGCCATAAGGAAATGCTGCGTTAGAATTTCCTCCGTAACGCTCCCAGCAGTAATCAGACAGCAGATACAAGAGGCAGCATCAAAGCCAAGGACAATCATCGTATTAGGAAGGCACGGCTAGGAGGTTCGCTAACAGGTCTCACTGCAGTGCAAAAGCTCCCCCCTTCCAGTTACAGCAACAGAAGCAACCCCTAAGGTTTTCCAAAAAGAAAACAAAAGTCATGCTGGCTGGACCAGCACAACACGGCAGCCTGCTAAATCATCGGAGAACAGAACCAACAGCCTGGAAGCTCTGACTGCTAACTCCAGCTCTGCCAAACCAGCCCTGCCTCTCAGAGCCAAGAGCTTTTCTGCCTTGGTTTACTCACCTAGAACTGGAATCATGTGAGAGGGTTCTGCGATAACAAAATATTTTATTTGCCTTTCCAAATGTTATGTGCTCTTATCAGTTCGACAAAAGAAACAGCTCATTACTGACACGTTTGTTGGTTTTGGAGGTACTTCTGCAGCATTGTTTTTTGATGTTATTTGGCACCTACCCCCCCCCCCCCCCCCCCCCCCCCCAAAAAAAAAGCAGCTCCATTGCATCATACCATCAACAGACTTGAAGTCTGGTGGACGGAATAAATTCCAGTTTTGCAAATATGTCTGCAAAAACATTTTGTAACAAGCAGGCAGCTCACAACTACCACAGATGAGGTAGATGCCACAACCCTACAGATGGATTGCACGTGACCGCCTTGCCCACAACTGCCCAGAGATTCCGAGTAGCCTGAAAGCTTACTGGAACAAAAAAAAAATAAAAATCACCCTCTCACCCTCATAACCGGTCAGAAAACTCAACACACGTCCTTTTTCTTGCTAGAATTTGCAGATACATGTAAACCAACTGCCTGGGGATGGTTTGGTGTTGACAGGCTTTCCAGAGAACCCAGCCTGCCTGGTTTCCAAGCCCAGCCTCGCCTTAGACATACCTCTCCTTGCTGGAGAAATCCACACCCAGCAGAATATTCTCTTCTGTGTCCTGTCGTCCGCTGCTGTACACAACCACCATGTACCGGACTCTGTCTGTCCACACACTTTCCAAACGGACAGCCTAGAAAAAGGTCATCAAGCTCTGCAAAGTAGCTTTTGGATAATTATTACTTCCATTGCTGCCTAGTACTTTTTAAGGTGTAATTGTGCCCAAGAGCTTTAATGAGCTGCAGCACGAAAGGCACAGGGAGAGCTGGTCCCTCTTCCAGCAAGGCTAGTTGCCAGTTTGACCTGGCATCGGGTGGGGAGAAGATTGGCCTAGATGACCTGCCCCAGTTCAGAGAAATACTACAAAACGTAACCTGAAGATTGGTTCTAAAGAGGTTCGACTAGAAAGTTGGTAAAAACATCGGTCATGCACTGAAGTGAAAGCAGAGGCAGGCTCAGAGGCTTCTTCCACTCCCAAGCCCTCACTGAAACACGTTCGTCATGCTGGAGGGGATACCTGATGTAGACTTTTCTGCAGTGACTTTTATAGGCTCTGCAGATTTCTTTAAAAGAAAGCCCAGCCCCATTTGGATGTAATTTCAAGCCTGACTTAAGAGTGTCTGCTAGCATCAGCAAGCTCCTGTCTCTCCTCCTGTATTGGTGTTTGTCAGCTGACTGGAAAATTAAATCTAACAAAACAAGCACACTTCAGACAGAGCAGCTTCCTGACCCACCTCGTTACCTGGATGTAAGGACCAGGGCAAAAGGGGTGGACAGGAAAACGCTGTAGGGCTGGCAACCAGCACACAGTTAAGCTGACTCTGAAACCTAGGATTTGCCAATGCTTTTCATGAACCTCTGCAGTTGTGTTTCAAACACCTCCAGCAGAAAGGCGAGCAGGAAAACGCATCTTTTCTTACCAGTTTGATCCTATCCTCACACCGAAGGAGGTTGATCATCACCTGGAGGTGCTGAGGCAAATCACCTGCAGAGAAATAATCAGAGAGAGTCTCTTACTGCACTAAGCATAGTCTTGACCTTTAATGAAATCAGATGTTTCTAAGTTAAAAAAAAAAAATTTAAGGCAGGCCAATTAACTTTGGTGTCCCAGAAGAGTACTAAGAGAAGTGAGTTTCTCGAATGAGCGTTATCCAGCTGCGTACCGACCTCACAGTATTTGGAAACTACCAAACATATTGAGACCACCTGTGCCTGGCACAAAGGATGACCTCCTTCCTGTGACAGCACCTTAGAGAAGACAGAAAGACATGGGCCCTGAGGACAGGGGAGGACAAGGTGGGAGGAACAACTCCAATTGGAAAAAAAAAAAAAAAAGGAACAAAGGAGAAAAGGAAAACTTGGACTTGTGAAACACACATAGCACGGTGGGATCAGCCCCAGGGGCCTTACTGAGGGTACATCTGAACACGAGAAACTGAGGAGGAGGAAGGGCTGCAGGAGTGGCCCGGTTTGGGGGATGGAGCCCTTCTATCTCAAAGCGCTGCCCATGCAACAAGTCCCTTAGGCTCCAGAGCAGCGGGTACGCTTCTGTTTGGTGAAAGCAAGCGAAAGGAACAAGGAATCTACAAGGAAACAAAACAAATTCACCTCTAATAACTTGGTAATGCACTCATAACTTTCCATACAAGATAAAATTCCTTCCGTAGGATGTTTGCTGGGTTTATGAAATTGCTGACAATTAAAGAGACCCAAAGCCAAGCTTGGCGTTCAAACACCCTCTTTGTGCTTGGAGTGTTTACAAAGCAGCAGACACACAGTACCACACTGTGCCTTTCCCACATGCTCCTGCTCTCAAAACGCCCCAATGATCTTATTTCTTCTTTCCCAGTGATCACTTACTCCAAAACTGTCAAAGACAGAAGGATAAAACCACTGGGTCAGGAGAACCCACTTTCCCACCCCCCCCCCCCATCTGCTCATCCTTCCTTACGTACGCTCACCATACAACTCCCTACAATTTCTTCCTGCCAGTTGGACACACTGGAGGGGACTGGGGGAAGAAGGACAGTCTGTTCTTAAGCCATCATAAACTTTTTACAGGCCAGATTGCGACAAGTTAACTGAAAAGGGGATTTTCCTGAAACCAGGAAAGGGAATATAAGGAGCCAAGAAACACACATCCATCCAGAGACCCAAATCCTGTCAAAGCGTTCCTCACTCTTACCAGCAACATCAAATAAACCCAGCAACAGGTAGCTTCGGAAGAACAAATGGTGTCAGCTGGCACTGAAAGTCCCAAGCTTCGGATTATCGGAGCCTGGGAGAGTGCTCGGAGAAATGTCCCTGCCATGCTGAATCAGGACCTCGACAACTACAGAAGGGGTGCTAGGGCCCTGTGCCTCAGCCTGCCCAATTTTCCTCCCCACAGGCCAAAGGGGAAGGCAAAGATCAAATCACAGAAGAACAAGTGACATTTCTTCATCTGCGGAAAACAGGGATACATACTCAGCACAGACTTTCTGGCTCAGCAGGCTTCCCTGCCTAAGGAATGCCCAGCTGAATGCCATAACGTCTGTAACGAATAAATTTCTACTCCTGTTACAGTTCTGAGACAAGGACAAAAAGCTTAAATACACGTTCCCGTTCAAATCAAGTGGGCTGAAAGCCAGGTTTTACTCGGCAGGTTGTACAAGGCCCACTGTGGCAAGGAGAGGAGCCGTCCGCCCACCCAGGCGTGCCATCCGCCTGGATGGGATGAGCAGCAGAGCAAGAGGGGAAAAGAATTTCAGTAGGTAATTTAATCCGCTACCTGCATGTTTGTGAGGATGCTGGAGACTTCGCTGGCCCTGGGAGCTGCTTCCTTGTTGTAAGAAAAGGGCTGCGCCTTTCACCATGAAAAAGCTCTCGCTTAGGCTGGAAAACAAATGATAAAGGAAGTCAACTGAAAGGACGTTATCAGCAAAAGGCACGCTCAGGTCCGCACGCCTAAGGAAGGACGGGCTTCCCCTGGCTACAGCACAGCAGGATTTTGCCATGAGAAGCTGTTCCCAAAGTTTGATCCTGCCACTTGCACGGCACGGCTCCGGGAGCGTTCATGTGTCATCTTCCACCAACATTTTATTACTTGGCCATTGCAGGAGATACTTGCCTGAGCTGTCAGGCGCTGGAAATGACTTTATCATTTGATTATCAAACTCTGCAACTTAAAACCAGTAGAGGGTAAGACTCTTCACAGGCTTAGACCTGTAAAATGACTGGAGATCAGGTTCCGAGTCAATCAGTTCCTACTCATTTCAATTCTTGAGATTTCTTTGGAATGCAAAAACAAGCACACGCAGCCATCCATTGTCTGTGGATTTAAAGGGGAAGGGAGGGCAGACGAAACCTGCACATCCCAGGAGAAAGGAAACTGCACTGAAACCTCAGGGGAAAAATCCCCAACTGGCACAATAGTGAAGATTTTGCTTTGCTCTGCCTCGATACAGCCGCCCTGGGAAACCCTACTGCTAAGGGGGCAGGTCACGGTGCGTGCAAACGCGTAACACTATTTCCACAAAGTGACACCCAGGCCCCCAGAACGTAACTAAAGAGCAGGCTCAACACAACCAGTCGTTACAGTAAGCGCCAGCCTAATTCCACAGAACTGCAATGCATCTGTGAGCATTTCAGAAACAGACTCGGACGTACGTGGTACCGTTAGCATTTCCCACGAGGCTGAAAATCAACATGACCAAGCTACCTTTTAGTTGCCACAGTAACTGCTGACATTGCATTTCCGACACTGCTCAAACCATCACAAGAGACGTGCCTCGTTACAGAGCCCAATTTTCTGCCGCCCTCCTCTTCCAAACGTAGATAATCATTAATTACTGGCTGCTATCTACTCAACAGAAAAGCTCCATTATGAGACTGCGCTGCACGGGAGTTACTTAGGCTATGGAAAATGATCCCAAGGGAGTTACGACTCCCAGAGCTCGTCTGTTCTGTGCTTTACCTGGGGTCCTTGCCCTTGGGCAGAAGCGAGCACTAACGCTCCATTCTGCCTTAGTGGTTCTGCGCAGACAGACATGAATTTCATGTCTTTTCAGCTTCTGCTGCAAGTTCAGCTTTTCCCTTCCATGAGAACACGGCCAAGGTTCCCAGGCAAATCTTCCATCATTTTGCAACTGAACCTTCGAGGTGCAAAATTCCCAGAAATATCTGGATCAGGTTTAAATTTGAGACCTCAGCTGCTTTTAAAAAGCAAATGAGAATTTTCGCCTAAGTTCCAGGCTCCACAAGTCATATGTCAGATCAATAAATTGCCAGCAGGACAGCTGCACTCTAATTAAAACCAGCGTTTCTCCGTTTACACTCCCACAGTATTCCAAGCACTCACCACTCGCTTCGCTAGCAAGTTGTGTCGGAACAGGAGCCACGCAGCGTTTGCTCGCGATCCGGAACGCCGGCGGCTGCTCTGCCTGGCACGCAAGCTATCGGCAGGGATTTCTGCAGACAGGAATTTGGTTCATTCCATAAGCGAGCCAGGAAGAGTCCCGTTTCCTTCGCACACCAGATCTCACAGGGAAGTGTTAAAAAAGGCCAGAAGCTACACAAAAGCACACAACGTATAGGGCGTTCGGCTAAATCCCAGCTTCAGGCACGCGCGTCTGTTTTGTAGCAGGAGGAAGGGAATGGGTAGATAACACACAAGGAGATAATTCACAGTAGTCCAGTCCCAAGAATTTTGGGGATATATTTCTTTGGGAAAGTAAGAAAAAAAAATATCCCAAAGGATATTCTTTTATCCCTAATAAAGTACTGACTGGGATTTCTACAGCAGGAAAAACCTTGGAAGAGCCAGAGCTCTTTCCCAAAGGCCTGGGTAACTCTGACAGTTCATCTCACCTCTTGCAGTCGGGAAATCTTTTACAATAAAGCAGAATATTCCCAGCTGCAGGCAAGTGAGAAAGCTGTGCTGTAGGAGCAGAAAGCAATTGCAGGGAACGGACAACCCACATAGCAAAATTTTTGTCACCGTGCATTCACCTGGGTGGAAAAGAACCGGAAAGCAAAGCCAAAGAGCCTGTCGAGAGCAAGATTTCTTTTTTCCTTTAAATGTTTGTTTCCTAAACGGCGCGCTAACCTTATGAAGCACAGCCTGGCCGGGGCTCAGGCTGCCTGTACCTCCCCAGCACTACGCGCGCTCCCCAATTTCCACATAAGCTCCCGTTTCCATACATCCAGCATGGTGCCGTACAGAGGTAACGCACCCAAGTGCCTCTTTGCAAAAGCTCAGCTTTGACACCATACCGAAACAGCACCATCACCCAACGCCGCCCCTTATCTCCGCTCCAGGAACGCTCTTTGCTCTCAGTCACTTCATGCAACCGCCCTAAAAGACAGCTAACAAAATAACCGTGAGAAAAAGGCAAGGCACGGTATTCCAACCCTGCTTTAAAAAAAACCAACCCCTTTAAATCCTGCAGTTCCAGTAAACAACTGAAACGCCAACCTTTTTAAAAAAAAAAAAAAAATCTCCTAAAGAACAGAAAAATCCTAACATTAAAGAACATCCCCAACTTTTGACCCTCGGCAGCAGTGCTAAACCGCCCCAGCAAGCAGCATTTGTTAGCAGCATAAAAACGAGTGGCTTATACATACTAATGTGGACTGGTTCCCTTTGAACAGCAGAAGCATTGTGCTGGCCCAAGAGTCAGGCAGAAGTCAGTAAATTCGAAAAGATTCATAACTAGCTGTAAAACTCACATCCTCTTGCTTCTAAAGCCATAAAAAAAAAAAAAAAAGGAAAAGAAAAGGTTGACCATGTATTCTGTGCGGAGCAGAGAAACCGCGTCTTGTTGATGCTACCCAGGAACTGGCTGACTTCTACAGAACACTGTGTCTTCCACTGATATCCCGGCTTGAAAAAGCACTTGTCCTAACATATCCCGATGAAAGAGGGCCATTCAAGAGGGGGAAAAACCAGCTGAGGCTCCTCTAATCATTTCCCTCCTCCAGACTCGTTTGTTTGTTTGCTTCCTCCCGCATGCTCCGAAGGCAACGCAGCGCCTATCGGCGACCGCAAAGCAAAGCAGCCCGGCGCTGTAGAAAGTCCATGTGGCCTGGGACAGGGCGAGATAAAAAGCATCCCATCGACAAACACCAGTTCATTTCCTTGCAATTAAAAGACTGCACGCCGCCACTGTAATAGATGTGCGACAAAAAGGCATGAGCTGCCAAATTAAAATGCTTCTTCACGTACCGTACGGCTACCACGGTTTGATTTGCAGAGCGACTCGTGAGTTACTGAGCTACTACGGAACAAGAAAGTCTTTCAGGTGGCTTGGTATTTATTTGTTAGTGGCTGGCTATAACCAAATTCGCTGAAGACTCGTTTCTTACAGCCCCCTGACTGATTCCGTCTCCAGCCATAAGCCATAACCGCATGCTGGCATCTCACCAGCACCACCAGCCCAACCAGGAGGAGAAGCAGCTTTCTGTCCATTTTTTACCCGGCCCGACTGGCACACACAAGAGAAACCACCCATTCCCTGGATGCCCTCCCAGGAATCCTGACCAGCACAGCTACTTTACAGGAGTCGTTTCAGGCTCCCAAATAAATGCAGGTTTTGTCACAACCCCAGCACCCCGGTGCTCTCTAGTGCTCCAGTAGGGCTGCAGAGCAGTCCCCGTTCCGCTCCATAACCTCAGCTTACCAAATTAATGGCATTAACCCCCTAAGGGGGGTAAACACCCACGCTTAGAAGCATCTGGGAAATGCTGAGGGTGTTGGTGGGAGGGTACAGACAGCTATGGCACTTTGCCGTCCATAAAGGAGGGGCCCTTCTGCACCCAGAGGGATGGCACCCAGGGGCTAGCGAGGGGAGGGTGCTTAATGGCCACAGCACTGCCGAGAGCGGGCTCCGGCGTCTCCTGCTTCACTGTCCCTTGCTCCATCCGTTGGCTCTGCGCTGCTCAACTTGAAAAGGAAATATTTCTTCCCCTTTGGGAAAGCCCCAGAAGAGCGTGGCTGCAACGCACATCAATTACATTTCGAGTTGCTTAAGAGCACAACAGACAGCGCCTTTTATTTGTTACAAAATGCCGCCCCCCGGGTCCGCAAATGCCAATAAGCAATCTGTTAAAAATACTGGGTTTCGTAAGAAGAAACAGAGCTGCTCGCGTTACTGGACAGACCGAGCGAGCTGGAAGCCAGCTGCCAGTCACAGAGATGTTCCCTAAGCAGCTCAGGCTGCGGCGTGTCCCAGGAAGAAACCTCATATTCCTCGGGTATTCCAGCTCCCTCTTTCAGAAGGAAATCTCACATAAGACGTAATCATCTTGCAGGATACAAGAAAATACTCTATTAATACATCTTACAGCTGCATAACTCTTCTCAAAATAAATACCCACACACAGAAGTTAGTAGAGAGAAAAACACTTTCCCTGGGAAGATGCAGCCAAGCCTGAGGTTGATTCAGCAGCCTCTTGCTAGCTGAAGAACTAAAAAATAGTAACTAGCTGAAAGCGGCAGAACACAGAAACATCAGCGTTTGCATTCAGCCGGGTGTCCCTGCTGCTCCCAGAGCTGCCGCAGGATCGCTCTGTGCACGGGATGCCCGAGGAGCCTGGCTTGTCCCCACACCTGCAATGACCTTCGGTGTTCCTGGAGCTGTAATGAACACGTTGGCTTCGTCTTTGCCACCGATCACAACCGAGAAGCCCTTTAGCCCCAGCGCTGTCCAGATCCGCTTGCTTACAGCTCTGCTCTGGGAGCATATCGTAGTGCTGGATTCATGCAGTGAACGTGAGCGGATTTCCACTCCGCCTGGCTTTCCTTTGCCTCTTCCTCGGGGACAGGGACAGCCCCGGGCTCCAGCCAGAGGAAGGTCCGAGGGCAGGGAGCTCAGGGAGCAGAGGAGCTGCTCCTCACGCAGCCGGGCAGAGGCTGTCCTCAGGAGCAGCCCAGCACCACCAGAGGACCAAGGCACACGCACCCGATGGGTCAAGGCTTGCTTCGGCTAACACCCAGAGCTCACCTCTGCTTGGGATTACAGTTACGCTATATCCTCCTCTCCCAAAGAGATAATATTCCATATGTCCTTTCAAGATATCTGCTCCCACCCGAACCTTTCTGCTTCTCTCTAACCTTTTATCTTGAGCAACTCCCACACTGCTGATCTGTCGTGTGCTTCTGCAGCTCAGGCACAGAGCTCCATGAGCCAGAAAAGCTCCGTGATGAAGCCTTGCCCAGGCCACACCATCATGCTCTCCGGGCACTAAATCTCTGTCAAATTAAGTTTCTTAATTTCCCCCTCATTAATGGAACAAAACGTACGGGCGGTGCGGGGGCAGAGAAGGTCATCTATCCATCCGGGCTGAGCCAGAGCACTCGGGGGACAGCGGTGGCCTCTGGGCTCATCCCAGTGCAGAG